TTTTGTGAATGCACATTTCACTGACTCCAGAGGGAGCCTCCCCGATAAACTTGAGGAGTATTTAAGCTTTTTTAAGTTAAGCTAGAGAAATCCAAACCTTTATCATAAAAAATACAGAGAATCCCGAAACACCAAATACTCAAAATAAATAGGTTTCCACTTCATGTGCATTATATCACTTTTATCAAACTAAGAAAATTAGCAAAAACAGAGAGATAGAAAACAAGTTCATACCACATCCACAACTCACCTCTAGGAAGATTTGCTAAATATTATTAGGAAAAAAAAAACTAAAAAGACCATTTCTTTATGAACTCACTGTAATAATTTGGAAAGACATGGATGTTTTCAGCTGTCCTTCCCATACGCAGCGGGGAATTCTCAGTCTCTCTGCTAGTTGATGTATATTGGTCTATATATTCCAGCTGAGGGGCTGAAGGGAGATGGATGTCATCATTTCTGAGCTGACCCTGGGGTTGAGGCTACAGGTCACCTCATTCCAGCCAGTCTGCCCAGGTAATTGGTGCCTAGGGAACAGCCTGCCCCCTTCCCACTCCAGGACATCATTATTGGGAAACATTCCTGTATGTCAAGATGATTCAGGGCGCTATATTTAGCCTTCAAATGAACAAAAAAAATCCTGAAGTCAGCTCACAGTCATCTCTCAGGACCAAACACGTAACTTCTAAGAAAGGAGCTGTGAATGCATGCAAGGATTTTTGTAAGGYAGGCGGAATATTTCATTTCTGGATGGCTGAGATAGCTGAAGAATGACTGGAAGGCTTCATTCACAAATTCTCCTGGCTTTGCTGATCCACTGAATTACAAATGCACACAGACATATCCTTGTTCCCAAGGCTGTCCCTGGTCCATCCCCACTTTAAACCCAGCCTTCAGAAATGACACGCTAAAGAWGGTTTTTCACTGCTAACTCTGCAAACTGGAAACCAGCCCCCAGCAAAGGCTGCTTGCTTAGGGTGGTCGTGGTGAYTGCTGTGGTTTTGCCTGACTTCAGTAGGTGAAGATGTGGCTGACAGATTAGCTTAGAAGAAAAGAGAGTGGCAAATGTAGAGAGTGGACCATATGACTAGTTTTACAAGGGGGCCACTAGTGTAGTTAAGGGAGATCTTTATTTGGAGATGAACAGGAGCTATGGAGAAAGAGAATGGGACTAGGAAGGAGTATGACTGTGAGCTGAGATGGGTGAGGAACTGCAGAGCCCAACATGCCTCACCAAGTCCAGATGGAAATACCAGCAAGGGCACAGGGCAAAGAGGAAATGGGTCTGAAGTCACCCAATCCACCCTATTGGTATCCATGGGATTCACATATTGCATTTACCTCATGCAGTGTAATTCCTCCTGCGGAATCACCTCCTAGGATGGCTGCAAGGTCCGTGGAGGACAGGGCAGGTGACCTCCTGCTATGTTCTGACCCATAGTGCCTTCATGCAGAAATAACACTAAGCACGGTAGTGCTAGGCCACAAATACCAGAAGCAGTTCTCCACCTGATCCATCTGTTACCACCCCAGAAATACTTAGGAGGGTGAACACACACATCAATGAAGAGCTGTTCCTTGTAGCTTCTGACTAAGGTGGGAACAAAGCAGTTGATGTTGCCTTTGACAGGGCAAGCATATCAGTGGGTTAAACCAAAGTAGGTCACGGGCTGCAGAAATTTTTGAGCAGTGACTGGAACAGCGAAGAAGAAAAAGTATTGACATAGCAAGCTTCCCAGCCAAGAGCCCTCAGAACAATGTCAAAGCTCCGGGAACAAGATCGTGCTGGATAGAACCAAGAGGAGAGCCAAACGGAGGAGACTGAGAACATACATGGAGCTCAGAGCCAGTCATCAACTTTCCAGCATGTCAGAGCACGTGGGAAGTACACTAGTCCTACAAAAGATCAGGAGAAAGCCCAGACCAAGGCATGAGCAGAGGCATCAGCTCCAAGAAGGACAGGAGACAGACAAGCTCCTCTCATTGCCAGGGGAGTTAGAGACTCGTGCTGTTGTGACCACAGAACGCAGCTCAAGTGACCTCTCCACACCAGAAGTGTTGGTGTCTTAAGAAGACACAAAGAATTGCATGAYGGAAAAATGAGGAAAAATCATTTCAAGTGCATTGGGACTTGAAAGGCAAGGGGGACGTAACAGTTTGGTCCATGGAAGGAGAAAGTAAAAACCATAAGCAAATATGGTAGCGGCCTGAGGACGGGTCTCTAAAAGAGCTCTTATCAATCCTCCCATCCTCCCCTGCCTGACCTGACCTTCCAGTTTGTTATACAACACCAGAATCATGGCAAGACCTGACTTTTAGGCCATATGTCTAAGCTGGAAGGATCAGCAGACAAAACTAAGCCTTAGGGTAGCATGGCACTGCAGGTGTAGCCCTGTTGGCCTTGTCACGGCTTGTTACTGAGGAATGTGATATTGCTGCCGTGGATTGAGCTGAAGCATGAAATAATCTGGATGTGAGACTCAAAGGATCTTTGGAAGACCAACCACAGCTGTACGGCCCCAGCTTTGCCTTTAATGTGTTTAAATTTCATGGATGTGGAATAGCTAAAACCACAGCAATAAATTGCAAAAACTACCAATGTTTCTAGGCTTCAAATAATCTATGGCTTGTAGACCTAATGGCAAGAACTCATTCCGGCTAAATTTAGCCTCCAATTGGAGAGGAATATGAATTCAGAGTGCAGGTCTCCTCCACTTTCAAAGCAAAAAGAGTGGTTCCTTTTCAGGGAAGGGACATATCCTGCTGCTCAGAAGAGCTATAAGTCAGTGCTTCATTTTATGCCTTGATTACAGAAGGAAGCAAGGGTCTAAATGTAACCGAGTTCCATAAATGGACGTTTAAGTTCAGTACTCAAAGGGTGGAGATAATAGTTTTAAGCTGCTAAGKCATGAGATGCTTTTCCCCATGTTCTCCTCCATGTTCTCCTAGCTCCATTTCTAGGAGGTATGGGAAGAACAACACGCTCATGGAGCCCTCAACGAATGGCCTCAGGACATTGCTTTCCCTCAGCATCCATCCCTTTCCCCCTTCTGCTCTCCAACCCTCACGGGATGAAGCCACAAAGGTGGCATGTTAGTGCCATCTTGGCTCCCCTGGTCCCTCCCAGGACCTCCACTTTAGGAGGACCTCCACTGTTCCTTCCCCAAGATCCCACCCCCGACATGTGACAAGAGTTCCCACCTCACGCAGCCAGGGCTGGGGAAGCTCTTACAACTGCTGTCGTGGCCAATGAGCTGCAGGAATGGGAAGTTCTCCTGTGAGGATAAGGATGGATGTGTCCAGCTTGAGGGAGAGTGCCCAGAAAGGAAGGAGTGAAGTCTACCGGGCTTTCCCATCTGTCCTCCCCTGACATCTCCCAAACCATTACTCCAATTGAGCACATCCCCAGCGTTCACATGGGCAGATTTATCACACTGCAATTAGAAAAATCGCACAGTTTGGAAAGCATATTTTTAAATGATTGTGTATAAATTAGTACGTAGGAAATGGAACACGTCAAAACCAAAGGTTTTGGGATTATGAAGATACGCTTGTAATCAAAATATTACATATGTGCCTAAGATGCCAAAGTTCCTCATGCTTTAAATGTAGAAGTGTTTTATATGTCCTGATAGTGTTAGAMACTTATAGCAATAGTATAAGAAAAAAAATAACGTAGGTATGCGGGGCTATCCATGCTCAAGCTCACCTCGGGGGACATAAACTCCGTATTCCTGTATTAAGCTCAGTCCCTCTGAGCTTTGCACCAAGATTGCTGCGTTATCAAGCCACGTGGAATGAGTGGATTGCTCCGAGGATGCCATCAAAGCACACATCAGCCTGCAGATGTATCTCCCAAGACCTTCACCTGCAGCCACCAGGGGATCCTAACTCAGTAAATTGGACCTAACCACCATTCATCCTCTTTCTAATCAACCTGTAACTGTGTGTGTGGGGGGGGGATCCAGCTCTGTGCATGCGCTGTATGTGCACACACCACGTTTAATCTGTATTTTAATTGAGAAAGTGATAGATAATAGGTGATTTTGTAATATAACCCACATTGAAGACAGTGACTTTTATGACTGAGAAGTCCKTAGAAGATACTCTAATGTAACCGAAATTATCACAACTAGAATTTTTTGATGGGATAAATTTTGTGTCTTTAGGGGTAAATTGTATGCCCTTACAAAATGTGAGGAACACCCTAAGGCCACTCCAGCAATTAAGCRGGTAGTCATTGTGCCTATCATCAGGGCTGAGATGAACAGCACATCACAGTAAGGTAAGAGAAGGGTAATGATTCTGTGATCTAATTCTGCGATCTAATGATCATAGAATCATTATTGTTGGAAAAGGAGCAAACATAACTGTTAGCATATGGGAACAGGGAGCAGGAAACACCCACCAGCAATATCGTGCTTCTGGTAAGGAGCAGGGAACGCTTACAGCTGATCTTAGCGAGATGTAGGAAGGGTGAACACAACTCCAGAGAAACARGTAGATGCTAAAAAGCTGCCGTGTACTAACTGTAGTTATATTATTAAGGGGAATTATCAATAGTTAGTCTGCAAAATAAATGTTGTTGTAGCTGTAAGCTGAGACCGAAAAGAATTGTTGGTTGCACTGTTAAGATATCAATTAGGGTAAGCACAAACGCTAATTCTCAGCTCTGCTTTGAACATGCGTTCCCTGCTACCCGGGGGAGATGTTAATGATGACTCCCTCCTTTGCCTGGAAGGGGAGTTGCTTCTGAGAAGCACATAAGCGCTCTTCGGAGATCTTGCTGCAGATGTTTTTGCGCTGGAGGATGCCTTCAGGGGTGAACAATGTTCATTCCGAAATACGTTAGGTGCTGCGGAGCTGAAAGCGTCCTGCAAAGGACAAGAAAGCGGAATGAAGGATCACGGAAACTGTCAAGTTGGGAAGAAAAGGGGAGAAGATCCAAGTGAGAAAAAAAAACCTTGCAAGACAATCGTGGCATTTAGCAGAAGAGGATTTTATTGGAAAGTTTACTAGGAGCCATTCACAAAACTCTGCGTGTGGAATTTCTGGCAGCAGCCACTTCCTTTGTGGCAAAAAGATGAAGATAAATAAAAACAAGGAAGCAGAGCTCTGACGTAGCCCATAGTTATAAAACTCTTCTCCTCTCCCTTCCGACCCACTCCGCGGTTCTGGAAGGCTCCTGTGCACACTGCGGGGAGGACTTACGGGGAACACGGCCAAGAGAAGACCAAGAACAGCAGCACTGGGGATCTCCTGGCACCCCACGGAGCAAGGTCTTCCTCACGTATCTTCCCTCGGAGACCAGAAGCAGGACATGRATTTGAAGGGACTGTGAGATGTGGAGATACTGACGCTGACCTTCCCAAGCTGAACTAGTGAGACAGCCCTTCTCTGCTGCTTCACCAAAGTGAACAGTTAAGTGCCGTGTTTTTCTTCCTCCCTATCTCACTTTTCTTGCCTCTAGCTTCCACTGCCAATGATTCAATCCCTTCCCTGCGCTCCTGGAAACTCACAGCACTCTTCCCTCCTGTTCTTTCACCCTGCCTGCCTTTCCTCTTTCTCCTCCTGTTCTGCGGACCAGTCCATCCCATCACGTGTGCCTCTCCATCCCCACAACACCCGTCGATTCTGTCCCCTGGCCATGTCTCGGCTGCCCGCCGGGGCTCCTGCTTCTCCAGCGTGGGGAGCAGGCGAGACATCTTGGAGTCACTAACCCGATTTCCTCTGGCCGCAGCCGAGAGCCCGCATCCCGCCGCCGAGCCCGGCCTCCCTGGGGATGGAGCTGAGCCCCACTCACCCGCCGCCCGCGCAGCCCACCTCAGYGGGCGAGGACAATCCCGCATGTGCGCTGGACACCTCCGCCGTGCTCCTGGACGGGGCCACGCTGCTCATCTGCCCGTGCGGGCTGGTGGGCAATGGCGCCGTCCTCTGGCTCCTCGGCTTCTGCCTCCGCAGGAACCCYGTCACTGTCTACATCCTCAACCTGGCCTTCGCAGACTTCATCTACCTTCTCTTCACGCTCACCTCGGCCCTGCTCTACATCGTGGAGGACGTTTCCTGCTCCGCTTTGAACTTCCTGGAGTACCAGCGGCCRCTCTTCCTGCTCTCTCTCTTTGCCTACAACATGGGCCTCTACCTCCTGACAGCCATCAGCATTGAGAGGTGTGTGTCTGTCCTGTGTACCAACAACAGCCACCGCTGCCGCCACACCAAGTGCTTGTCGGCCATCGTGTGTGCCCTCCTGTGGGCTCTCTCCRTCTCTGTGATTGCTGCCGTGACTTCTCTCTGCCTGTCTCACGCAGGTGAACGCTGCCAGCTGGCTCTCGTCTCCATGTACGTCCTCAATTTCCTCATCTTTGCCCCACCCATGGTCTTCTCCAGCACGATCCTGTTCATGAAGGTCCAATGCGGCTCCCAGCGGCAGCACTCTGGGAAGCTCCATACTGTTATCTTCCTCACAGTCCTCTTCTTYCTMMTCTTTGCYSTTCCCCTCAGCATCCAGAAGTTCCTACAGCAGTTTAACTACGATTTTGGCCCTTCCCAGGTTGCTTTCTTGCTGGTCTGCATCAACAGCAGCATCAAGCCATTTATCTACTTCCTGGTGGGGAGCTGCAGGAGGCATTGCTCCTCAACCTCTTTGAAGGTCGCTTTCTGGACAGTCTTTGAGGAGCTGGGAGATAACTCAGCGTACAGTGAGGATGCTCCAGTGGACACACTAACCCCAGTCTGCTAAAGTCTTTCCACTGTTCTCCTTCATACCACTGGGTGAAGGATGAGGGGGTTCTTAATTAACTGGATTAAATAAATTTGTCTATATTAATTCTCCTATGGCCACCCACCAGCAGTGTAACTGTTCTCTAGAAGAAGCCAGGGCTGGATAATGTAGAGGGTCAATATATGGAAAGAAGCTCAATGCGGGGAATGTGCATTGGAGCGCAGCTTTTCCGCACCTCCATCATTCCCAACCACTTCCAAAGGTACTATTCCCAASCAATTCCAAAGGTACTATTTTCCCCCTCAGAGGACCATGTTCCCATCTCACACAAGTAGTCAAGTGTGGTGGCTGGGGTGGGCATTGCATTTGTGGAACCCCAATCCATGCTTGCGGGTAAAATAAAAAATAGCCAATGCCCTAAGCTCTTTCTCCCTGGCTCACCTCCTACCGCACGCAGGTTGTCCCAAATTTTGCTGTCCTCCTGTTTCCAGAAATGCTACCTGAGGATGCTGACCCTTCTGATGTCCCTCAGCCCTCGGCTCACAGGGAAAATCCTCTCCTGTATCTCTCTGCTGCTTGGTATCAATAAACAGCATTGCACAGCCCTGAGTTTCCTCGCGTTTGTGTCCAAGCACTTGCTGGTTGTCTGGAGCTTGTTCTGGGTTTGGCTTTGAGGTCCTGGTGGGAGGAAGGAGAAATGAATGCAGAGGAGACTTCCTGCCTCAGACTGGGTTTGAGGAGGCAGGAAAGCGGTGGCTGAGGAGTTACGCAATGCCTCTGGACCGCTTTACTGGTTTCACAGGAAATATCTTCCACAAATCTTATTTAAAAAAAGAAAAATGTTGCTAGAGGAGTCCAATGGCAATGGTTCTTCTTCTGAAATTCCCCCTCGCCTTGATCCTGGTAGGCTGGAGTATTTCCTCTTCTTCTCTAATGTGTGGGGGGAGTAGAAGGGGGCACAAAGGGAGTGTGGCAAGTAGGAGAGAGCCAAAAGTCCGCAGCTACCCTTTCAAAATAAGGAGTGCTGTGATTTCCCTTATAGAATCATAGGAACATTGGAAAAGACCTTCCAGATCATTGAGTCCAACCATAAAGGCTTCAACACCCTGCCTGCCAAGCCATGTCCCTACGTACCTCATCTACACCTTTCTTGAACACTACCGGGGTGGTGACTCCACCACTACCCTCGGCAGCCTGTTCCAGCTTGAATYCTATTTCCATGTAGAATTTGGTTGTAATATCTAAAACGAACCTTGAATCTCCATGTAAAATCAGTTATGGAAAAAAAAAAATCCCTGTATTTCCTCAAGGAGCCGTGACATAAAGGGTCCTCACGAGCTATGTTAAAATGTGTCAGGCTCCTTTCCGTCCTCGCTGAGGAAGAAATGCTCTTCCAAGAGCAAGCAGCTTTCCTGGAAAGGTCTTTGCATCAGCAAAGGAATGATGAGCCTACGGTTGCCATCCGGAGTCTCTAGGAACATGGTGCAATGTTTTATTTTCACTGTGGCCTCCATGACTCATGCCTCTACGTTACTGTCAAGCTCTAAGCTGTAGGAAAGTGTCCTGTCATAGGGAGAGCCACAGATGCCCAGGGTTAATCCACCAAGGAGAGTTTTCTAAAACGATGTGGGAGCACTCTCGGAAAGTGGCCATCCTGCCAGACACTTCAGTCATTTAAGAGCATGAAGTTAGGTAGGGACATCAGGAATGTGCTGTGAACTGCTTTCATGGGGAAAACCACAAAAGTAAACATCACAGTCCCTGCGGACACCTCAGGTGGGGCTTGCATTAGCTCCGTGACACACTTGTCTTTGCTGGGAGGGGTTATGTACACCTCTGCCTTGGAAAACTGAACTGGCACCCCATGTGACCCCTAAAAATGCAGAGGAACTGCTTGGATGTGTCCGTGGAGAGTGTTCAGCCTCTTTCAYGCCATGACCTGATTGGAGAGGACACTGAGACAGGAAAAGCAGAAGCACTGAAGATTCATCTCCCATGCTCTGAGCGGGTCCTCTGCAGCCAATAGGGTCTTCTAATCAAATGGAGGAAGATCCTGTGGCACTTCATGCCACTTGACTGCAGGTCAGCACAATTTCAGCACCCTCCTCAGGACAGCTGATAGAAACTGAGCTCCTCCAGGACCTTCACATCTCTGTTGGGATCCAGGGGAGTCACAGATCCAATTTCACTTAGATACCTCTGCAATGGTTGCATAAAGTTGGGTGGGTTGATTTGGGGCCACCAGGGTAGGCACAGAGCTGCTCTTGATCCTTCCAAGCGTAGCTGCCTTGAGGAGCAGAGAGCACAGATGTCACACAGGGGCTTCTGGAGCTGGGCAAGGGAGTGGAAAGATATTGCCCACAGCTGGGCAGAGGTGTGCCAGATTGGCTCCAGACCAAGCACCGTCATGCCTTGACTTGCTTTGCCCCACTGTCCTTTAGGAGGCAAACATTGCCCATCTTTGATCTGCCATGCAGACACTGCAGAGCTGCGCTGTTTACCCTCCTTGCTTCCTTGCCTTCCATCACATCCAGGGCTGGTAGTTTATCAGGACCCACTCAGTGACAACCTCACGACGTTCTGCATCTCTGCCACCYGCTTTGAAAGCCCATGACCTCCTATTCCCTCTACTTTCCATGACACCCCTCCTTGTCCTACACCCCACACCACCACCCTTCTTGAGAGCTCCAGCACATCCTGCCCTTCACTACTGGTTCCTTCACGTGGAGGAACCATCCTCCATGAGAGTCCTTGAGCTTCTGGTGCCATCCTGTGGCCTGCTTGCCTGCAGCTTCTACACAGAGTTTCTTCGAGGGCACCGTTTCTCCACCAGCTGGGGAAACATCAGACAGAGAAGCCACCCAACACTCACCTCCAGGTGGTCCCCAAGTGCTGTTTCCTTCCCTTGGGCTCCCTGATTAGGGTAGTGTTGGTAGGGTCAAGCAGCCTCCACCTTGCTCCCCACAACAGCTGCTTCACCAGGAGCCACAATTCAACGCGCCCAACGTGATGCCAAGGAGACAGGCTGGCTGAGAGTGCCAGGGTGCCCCACAGGCCTCTTCATCAGTGCCTCTCCTCACAGTGGATGGGCAAGGGAACATGGAGATGGGGGCTCTGGGTGGAGCAGGCACATGGTTCCCTTGCCCCAGCAAAACGTGGCTCCCAAACAAGGTGACAGGAGCATTTAGGCTAYGCCTGCACTCCGGCCTGGCGCCCCTCGGCCTGCTGCAGTCTGGGCTGCAGGTGACATCCCACAGATGCTCTGAGTGGTTCTGACCCCACGGTGTTGTGGATGTGTCCCTGGCCACCCATGGAGCCACTAAAGAACGCCCAGCACCTCATGAGCGCTTGGACACACACACACACACACACACACACACACACACACACACCAAAAATGCAGGCTGAGGATGCACAACGCTATTTATTAATGTCATGCAAGAGCGAGAAACAGGAGATGAAGACTATGAGCATCAGCAGGGCACTGCAAGGGGACGGCAGGTCCCTCTGCTCTCGCAGTTTCTCCTCTTTCCTCGCAGGAAAGAGGAGAAAGAGCAGAGCATGGGACAGCCTGGGCAGCGTTGGAGGTGCGACGGGGAAGAGGAGCTTTGGAYGTTGACTGTATTTCATGCCACCTCTGAACGTGGGTCTGGGATTTTCAWATGCAACATGTTTCCTGGGAAGCAACAGATGGACAGGGACATCTTGCAGGACAGGGACACAGTGTCCTGGGACACCTCTGTGCTCAGAGGAACAGTTCCTCTGGAGCCAGCCCGGGCTAAGSGGGCCACACTGCAGTGTAGCCCCACCACCACCAAATCTCAAAACCCTCCTTGCCCAAGAGACTGCCCCAAGTAAAGGCACCTCCTCAGAAGAGCTTCACGGAAATCTCCAATATCTTGTTTTCACACTGGAGGGCAGCAAAACCTTTCCTATTTATCCCTGCTCTCTTCAGAGCTGAAAAGCCAGAGGAAAGCAGCAGAATCCCAAGCAAAACACGCCCAGGGGAGAGCCAGGTTTCTTGCGCGGAGGAGTGTGACGGCAAACGGGAGAAAAGTGCTGCGGGCAACAGGACAGACATTGCTGCCAGTCCAGACCTGGGATGAGGAGGCCTCCTGATGCTCCAGCTGCAGGCCAACGGGTCACATCGATGCGTTGCCAACAGAGCCATTGACCTTCTCCTCAACTGGCTTGGCCAAAGTGCTCTCTTAGCCAGCAGCAGTGGTGACCACTGTTTCTTCAAAGACCCTCTGGAAGGCAACCCTCAAGGAGACCAAGGAGCAATGCCTCCTGCAGCTCCCCACCAGGAAGTAGATAAAAGGGTTGATGCTGCTGTTGATGCAGACCAGCAAGAAAGCAACCTGGGAAGGGCCAAAATCGTAGTTAAACTGCTGTAGGAACTTCTGGATGCTGAGGGGAASRGCAAAGAKKAGRAAGAAGAGGACTGTGAGGAAGATRACRRYRTRKARCYTC